GCTGGTCTGGAACTCCTGGGCTCAAGTGCTGTTCTTATTATAGCAAATAAGTCTCGAGAGATATGATGGTATCATTAGGGGGGATTTCCCTGCCCAATCTCTCTCTTTGTCTGGTGCCGCCCACGTAAAATATGACTTGCTCCTCCTTGCCTTCCACCATGATTGTGAGGCTTCTGTAAATCCAGTTAAATCTCTTTCTTTTGTAAATTGTCCAGTCTTGGGTATGTCTTTACCAGCAGCATGAAAATGGACTAATACATATGGGAAGGAAATTTGTAAGGATAATTGCTTCCAACTTAAATTAGTTTTGCATATACGAAACATTCTTATGTTACATAAGTTCACAGATGATAAAATCAAATACACATGGTACAAGGATCAGTATTAACTGAGAATTTGTTATTAGGGTGGTGCAACAGTAACTGTGTTTTTGTTATTGTTGTTGTTGTTCTCCATACTGGTAAAAACCATAATTACTTTTGCACCGACCTAACAGAAATGTAAATTCTTGCCCCCCCCCCCCCCCCCGAGACTGACTGGATCAGAGACTCTGGAAATGAGGCCCAGCACTCTGTTTTTTAACAAGCTCCCCAAAAGACTCTGATGTATGTCTTGAGTTTTCAAATTTGATCACACATTTCACCATTTGGGAAGCATTAAAAATACTAATTATTGGGTCCTACTCCTGGAGATTCTATTTAATTACTCTGGAATGCGGCAAGGGCAGGCGATTTTAAAGTTACCCTGGTAATTATTTTATTGACAACTTAAGTTGAGAACCAATGTTAGTCTTAGCCTTGAAATTAAATTGACCATTCAATTCCTTGACACAAGGTCCGCTTTCAACACAGGCGTCACAATTTGAATATGTCTTCTCTTGTTTGCATCATCAATTTACAAATTATTCTTTCCACATGTGAAGACTACTAAAAAAATTAAACGACTGCTTAAAGATTAAAGCTGAATCCTCAGACTGCCTTCTCAATTAATGTAAATGTGCGCCCACATATAATCTCAACCTAAAATCTGCAATTAACTTGTAAAGGCAAATGCAAGTAAAATGAATTAGGTTTATAAATAGATGCTAGTAAATTCCAGTGAAAACTTGACCCTCAGTTGCAGTACCTTCAACACCTAATTACCAGCAGAAACATTTCGAATCATAGGCTTTGCATGTTTTTAAATTCAAATTTTAGTATCATTTTTAATGTGTAACAGTACTGATAAACCTAACAGAGATTGTTCATGGAGCTGAAATGTAAAAACAAAAAAAGTGATTGCAGCATCTTCCGGTAGGATGAAACCTTTGGGAATCTGGGCTATTCCGATGACAAAAGCAAAATATGGCCAGTACGAGTTTTATAATAAAACTAGAAAAGAGTTGAATCTATATTTATTTATAGTATAGTGTCAAATAGGGTGAGTGCTTTTAAAAAAAAAAATGCACTCCTTGTCATTTTGTATGCAGTGCAGGGATAATTTCTGTTACAGAGATCTGTGCCATTCTTTCTTATGATAACTTTAAAAGTGAAATTGTGCCTACTAGACTTTGTCAGCTTCTCTTCTGATGTAAATTTTGATTTTAAATAACAATGTGAGAGGTGTGTTACTGAAGAGAGAAACATGTCTGAGGCAAAACAGGTTTCCTTGGTTGTAAAGAAGAAATGGTACTGCTACTAACCCATATCCATAGTTTACAGATACTCTGTAAAATCTGGCTATATTTCAGAACCAAACTGTCCAGCTGCTAAATTGTTACAATGTGTTCATATCCAATGGTGTGCTGCAGTCCTCTTGTACCAACTTGTGAGAGTCTATTTTTATTTTATTTTCTTGAGACAGAGTTTCACTCTGCCACCCAGGCTGGAGTACAGAGGCACAATCTCAGCTCACTGCAATCTCTGCCTCCCGGGTTCAAGAAATCTTCCCGTCTCCACCTCTGGAGTAGCTGGGATTACAGGTACGTGCCATTACGCTGGCTAATTTTCATATATTTAGTAGAGACAGGGTTCTGCCATGTTAGCCAGGCTAGTCTCCAACTCCTGGCCTCAAGTGATCCGCTTATCTTGGCTTTCTAAAGTGCTGGAATTACAGACATGAACCACCACACCCGGTCATGAGAGACTATTTTTAAATTTTCACTGATTCTATTTGCCAGTTGTAAAGCACATGTCATTTTTTAAAATACTTTTTATAAAGGTAAAATTAAACAAATAATGTTTAAAACAAAGGTAATATATACCTGAGACTTCTAATTTCCTGATAATATTGCTACATTGCTCTTGAAGTTACTCGTGTCAGCTGTATCTGAATAGTGGAAATACTACATAATAGTGCGTTACTGCATATCTTCCTAATTCCACATTCAGAGAATCATGTTGGCAACTTGATATTGGCCATGGTGGGAGTATTTACAGCACACAAATGGGCAAACAATACGTCAGGGTTCCTCCCCAGCAGGAAATGTTAAAACATTTACCAGCACAACAAGGAATGAAACCTACTACAAGTGTATGTGCATTTAAATCAGATAGTCATTGAAGTATAATGGCATTATCTGCACCTTCTGCAGGGATCACAAAAAAAGTCACCCTAAAATGGTTGGATTCTAGTGGTAAGCATGCCTAGGTTAGCAATCTGTTCCTTCTATTTGCTAGCTTTGTGATCTCAAGTAGGTTTCTAAAAGTCTCTAAGTTTCAATTCCTTTATCTGTGATATGTGAACCACAAAATATTCCTCATAGATTTGTTATAAAAATTCAACAGAAAAATATGTGTCTGGCAGTGCTACCAACCCTTCTTCGCTTCACCTCATAAAAGATATACAAGTTTGCTGCTATAGTCATTTAGATTATTATTAAAATTTTAGGTATTTTCCTCCTTTGATTCAAGTAAATTGTTATTGAAATAAAGAAACAGGTCCTGCCCTAATCCTATTAAAAAAAAAAAAAAAAAAAAAAAGAAAAGAGAAAATCTGATCGAAGACCTAATAGAAGTTCTTTAAAGAGCTCATACTTTATTTTCCTAATTGTTTTCGTGACATTTCTTATCTGAATTGAGACTCTGATTCCAGGGCCTCTCTATATTTAATGTTATTAGATTGCTCGTTACCTTTCTGGTATTCTCTGAATGAGGATGCTCACTGTGGAAAGGAATCAAGTTTTCTAAAATATAGAGCAACTTAGCAGCACACTCAGCCAGATTTAGGACCACACAGTTAGTCTGGATAGTGGAAAAGAGAGAGAATATACTGCTTAATCCACTATATTGGTCAGGCTCCAGATATTCTATTATATACATAAAATACGCTGTCGTCTCTTATGTGGTTCTCTAGTGCTTTCTTCCATACTACTGCTGTCGCCTTCTTTACTATATCACTTACCACCACTTACTTTATCTATACTTTATTCGGAGGTTATACACTCAAATGTTTACAGGGACATAATAGTCTAGCATAAGAAAATTTTAGATAAGCATCCTCCAAATACAGGCATTTAAATTGACAGGTTAACACCACGGAAAACAGTATAGATTCCTCAAAAAACTAAAAGTAGAACTACAATTTGATCCAGCAATCCCAGTACTGGGTATCTACCAAAGGAAAAGAAGTCATTAGATGAAAAAGACACATGCACACACATGTTTGGAGCAGCACAATTTGCAATTGCAAAGATACTGAACCAACATTAGTGCCCATCCAACCAGTGGCTGGATAAAGAAAATGTGGTACATATACACCATGGGATACTACTCAGCCATAAAAAGGAATAAAATTATGTCTTTTCCAGCAACTTGGATGGAGCTGGAGGCCATTATATTAAGTGAAGAAACTCAGGAATGGAAAACCAAATATTGTTTTCTTATCACTTATAAGTGGGAGCTAAGCTATGAGGATGCAAAGACATAAGAGCGATGTAATAGACTGTGGGGTCTTGGCAAGGGGAAAGCTGGAAAGGGGTAGAGGATAAAAGACTACATATTGAGAACAGTGTACTCCGCTTGGGTGATGAGTGCACTAAAATCTTAGAAATCACCATTAAAGAACTTGCCCATATAACCAAAAACCACCTATACCCCCAAAACTATGGAAATTCAAAAAAAAAAAGAAAAAATAATCAACAGAAGGGTTAAAAACCTTATTTTTCTACTATTAAAACCATAAGTGTTAAATTATTAAAATGTATACTTATTGCATTATATTTTAATAAATATGCTATACATGTCTAAATTATGGGTACAATTTTCCCATAATTTTAAAAAATCTATTGCCATAACTGAAATAAAGCACAAGTCTTAGAAAGCCTGGTTCATTCTGTTACTGTGTTTCACTAGACATTACTGAGACAAATGATATGAAACATACTGATGCATGAGTACAATGAGAGTAATTAAATTTGTAACTTGATGTGACAATACATTTTTACTATTTTCAAAAGTAAGAGAATCTGTGCAAAGTGGGAATTTTGCCATTAACAAAAATATTATCTTAAACTAATACTGAGTTTGTCGGTCAGAATCATACGACTGTACAGAAATGAAAACAATGATTTACCAACTATATAGTCTCAATCTGAATCATTTATTCTTCCCGGAAGATAACATATACAAGCCAATAAGAAACACGTCCTCCTCCTTTACCCTAAATGGTACCCCATGAACTACTCCCTTTGACAAGTTTAATCACTACAGACGTAAGATTAATAATGAACATTGGAGATTATCCTGTTAGCCGTGTAATAACCACTTCCTAATAAAATCTGCAATGTTTAAATCCATTTATTTTTGCTGAGAACATTGTTTCTACCATACAAATAGGAATTATTCAGAAGTTATCATTAAAGCGCACACTCAGGTCCAAAAGTTTGTAACAGAAAGTGACATATCCTCCGTCTATTTTACCTGTAGTCATAAAGATATAAATAGCTCTTTAAGGAGGGTATAGTGATAGGATATCGTATCTGACACAATCTCTACTAACAACATGTTTCACTCACAACTTACCACAAGATGCCATTTCATCTGTCTGGTCACCACAGTCGTCTTCCCTATCACACAGCCATGCTCTGGGAATGCAACGCCCATTTCCGCAAGAAAACTGGTCTACCTGGCATGTTCTGGCTGTGATGATCAATTAATATACAAAAAATCAATTTAGAGGCCTTTTGAGCATCAAGGATATAATTAAGCATGCAACATCCTTTCATACATAAGATAGTATATTTCTCTATTAAAATAAAATATTTCAAATGTCCATTTTTATTTAAGACTTCTGAATACCAGCTTGCTTGTCTTCTCTAAAGTTCACACGCTTTGCCCTTCAATTATCAATGACTGCTAAATGACAAGATAGTAATCCTCACACAATTCCATAAATGAAGCTATGAATTCATTATTTTAAAATTTTGCCCAGCATGTGCTTATGAATATAAGGTTGAATTAAGTTTCATCCAACTCTTAATTAACAAAAAAAGATTTTTGGATAGCATTTGCTAATAAACCAAGAAAAGTTTTTTGCAGTATTGTAGAAGGCATTATTTGGAGACCATCTCAGTATATCTAGTTTCTAATCATGGGGCCAGAATTGTCCTATTCCTCTAACATTTTTAATGCATTTATTTCTTGATCTCTAAATGATCTACTGTATGAAGTGAGAGCGCAAAAAAAATTTTTTTTAAACGTATATTTAGCCTTAAGATGTTTTCTTTTTAACTCATTTTTCAGCACAATTATTCTAAAAAGTATGACTTTTTAATCAAGGTATATTAATGAACTTTGCTTTGGGCTCTCTTAAGGGTTTCAATGAACACAAACATGGAATCTTGCTTTCTATGTTAGCCGGAAGCAGTGGTTTAAAGTTATTCAGAAAAGGGGTTATGTTCAACAGGAAATTTGATAAACCTTTTCTAGTATAAACAGGGCAACTTTTAAAAGCATGAAAGCTTAAATAGCTTCCCAGCCTCTTCCCCCAGGCCTTTGGTAGTGAGATGCTTAGTTGTTTTTATCATTTGATTTTCATTTTTTTTTCTTTTGTCGCTCTGAACTACAAATATGTCTTTATGAGCCTCAATATCCCATCTACCCTTTCCTTTCATTGGACTAGAGAAAAAAAATGAGATATATTGGGAAAGGGATACTCGGTCCTATGAAAATTTTGGATAGGTGAGGCTTGAACAGATAATGAATAATTGGGGTCTGAGTGTCAGTGGCTACAATAAGGGAATCTTGATGAGTTTATAGACTTCCTTTTTCCTAGGTTTGAGAACCGTTGTTTGTCTATTCAAAACACTTTGTGAACTTGGGTACTGATGGTTGGTATAAGAGAGAGTGGTGCAAAGCCAACTCAATCAACCACACTAAAATGAGTTCCACGAATTAGGGCTTCAGAAATCATTGAAAATAGTTTTTTATAAGATAGATACATTGTTCTGCCCTTTTAAGAAAAGTGCACTTGCAGTGTTAAGATGTATATTCATTATTAGTGAATATTTTAAAGATTATCCTAGAAAAACAAATGAAAAATTTACTGGCTTGGTTTGATACATTAGATTGTTCCTAGTCTTACTGTCTAAAATTAGAAATATCAGGAAAATTATTATAGTATGTATTTTGCTTTGCTTATATGATAAGGTTCCTAAGTCTAAAATATTTTATGCACTATCTGATTTTTTCATTTTACAAATTCATCATTTATTTTACATTAACAGATTTTAAATATTCCAGCAAACATATATGCTTCTAGAGTTTTTAATGTTAAAATTACAAGTAAAATCAAATAATTCTATATTGTCTCATTTAATTCTACAGATTTTCTGGTAAATTATTCTGTCATCTATACTAAAATGAATAAAGTTCTTAGATAATTGTTATAACATTATGTCTGCTGAGAAAAAAAATAACTATACATGTATTTGTATTAACCAAGAAAAGGAGGTAGAAAGATATACACAAAGTCTAATGTCATTAGTTTACTTGATAGGAAGGGGTAAAAATAGAAGTGTGAGAGAGATTAATATTTTTTCCCTTACATATCTCTGTTTCACTGGTTACAATAAATACCTTTTTATCTTTTGAGTTTTAAGAGAAATTTAATAAGAGCATTTTTTTTCAATTCTTGTTTACTTCCTTTCACCCTACCTTGCCTCCTTCCTTGTTTTCCCTTGTTGTTTCTCTTTTTTTGTTTTCCATATCTTTCTTCCTCCTTCATTCTTTATTTCATTCCTTCAGTCTTTCTGTTTTCTTGCTTTATATAAATAAACATTATCACATATTTCTATCTTAAATTCTAATTGGCCCATAATAAGAATATATTAAATTTATCAAAACCAATGTTCTTTTATTTGACATTCTTATGTCACTGTATTCTCGCCTAATAATTCAGGTTTAATTCTAGCAAAGTTTTATCAGATTGTTTTCTTTCATTAAGAAAGCTATGGTGATTAGAGAGGAAAATGAGAAAGAATTTCTATGAACCTGTCTCATATTGTGTATGACCCATCTCACATTGTGATGGTGTGGGAATTTGTGTTACCTCATTAACTTTGAAGCTGGAGGAACTGTTATGACCTATTATTCCAAAGAGTATTCACTGTATTATTATTGAGGGAAAGTATGCCCTGAAGATATATGAATTCACCGTCTGTTCTAATCATGGAGAAAATTATTCACTTAGTCTACTAGGCAATTTTAACTGATTTCAGATGAGAAAGATGCTTCATTCCATAAACCCTCAAGGACCGTTTACATGATATAATCAAGTTGACTAAATTATCACTTTCTAATCAATGAATTTTTCTGAAAACAAACCCACAACATTTACTTTTTCATCTCTTGTCTCCATCAGATCTAAGTTAGTTTGGAGGCAAGATTAGCAGAGCAGCCCCATAGGACTCTAATTTTGTAGCACATGCTGCTCTAAGGAGGAAGAAATTTACACTTCCTTCAAGAGAATTGTTTGTCTAGCTGCTGAATCAGAGATTCAGTGTAATCATGCTTCTCTTGTAGCCATGTAACAGTGAGAACTCTCACAAGGCTCACAAACTATACAGTCAAGAGGAGACTAGAGCATAGCACTATTCCTAAACTGCACTTTTGCTGTATTGTAATCAAAGCATTCTACTTAGCTGTATTTAATGTCATATCAAAATGCACTCATTCTTTTGTAAAGAGAAGTCTAATTTTTAAATATATTAGGGTATTTTGCAAGCAAATATATTTATCTAGTATGAATTTAGTTATAATTGGTAGAGGACGTGAGAAGAGCAAATATTATGTAATCTAACCAGAGCACTATGGTGGGGTGAAATGTTGATATGAAATTGTCTAGGCTTGAATATAAGGAATGATCATGTTTCCATGAAGAAAAATAATTTCAAATCTAACTACTTTTCATCTTCGGTCTCTGGGTCTCCCTCATGAGTAGACAACAATATTCTGGATGTTGACAGAGAACGGCTCCCAAGACCCTGACTGTGTCCACTTACTCCAGCCCCCTGTGTATGTGCTATTTCCTCTTCTGGGCAAATTCTCCAACCCTTTCTCTTATTATTCACTTCACCCCACCCTGGATAATCTATTCTGGTCAATTGTTCTTTTTTTTCCTAGTGAAATGTTTCTACCATCTAGCAAAGTAAAGGAAAAAATATCATTAGCATCAGTTTACTGTTACATAGCTATATCAAATCTTATTTATTTTTATATTTGTTACAGATTTTGATTTTTGTTTTATCTAAGAAAAAAATATATGTACTTATATTTGAAATTTCCTACATAATCTTTCTCAATCACATTTCCCTCCCTCTCTTTCCAGAGGTAACTAATCTTCTTAATTTGTTTTTATTTTTTTTTTTATTTCTGGGCATATTATAATACTATTCCTATTTATGAATTCATAAACACTATATAAAATTATTTTATATTTTATACTTCATATAAATGATATTATTTTCTTCAATTTAGTGTTTTTTTTTTTCCTTGGATGAGGGTATCTCATCTAATTTAACTTTATTTTTAAATTCATTTTTGTTGATATTTGAGTTCTTGTTCAGATATTTTAATTACGAACAGCATTCCATGAATAGAACACAATATACCTATCCATTCTTCTGTTAATGGACATTTTAATTGTTTCAGTTTTTCACTATTATAGCACAAGACAATGAAAAATTTTATTCATGTCTGTCTCTTCATGCACAGGTATTAGATCATAAACATAGAAATATAATTACAAAATTGAAGGTATGCACATCTTTACATTTATTGAATTTGGCCAAATCACTTTCCAAGATAGAAAATCAATTCACACACCCAGCAGGAGTGTATGACAATTTCTTTTTCCCACAGTATTGCCAATGCCATGTTTTACCAGATTATTTTATTTCTTCTAATTGAATGGCTGCAACTGTCACTTAGGAATTTTTCTTAAGCTTTTTATAAGGTTTAACTTAGACAGTGCTTCCTTCAAGAAGTACTCCCAGATAGCTAAAGACTGTATTCCATACCCTTCCTATGTGCTTCCATGTGGATCAATTCAACACTTTGAATACTGCATTAGAATGGCCTGTTTACACTTCTTTCTCCTAGTCTTCACTCTCAGCTTCTTGGGGAAAGACATTGTGTATTTTCTTTCATTCTATCACCCGTGCCTTGGTAGATATTTAATAAAGTAAATAAACTCATGAAGTAGAAATTTAAAAAAAATAGGAAATTGGCTTATTGTGGACTCTGTCCAAATGGAGGAGGAGGAGGAGGAGGAGAAGGAGGAGGAGGAGAAGGAGACGGAGGAAAGAGGGGGAGAAGAAGAAGAAGAAGAAGAAGAAGAAGAAGAAGAAGAAGAAGAAGAAGAAGAAGAAGAAGGGAGGAAAAGGAAAGGAGGCGGAGGGAAAGAGAGGGGGAGGGAGGAGGGAGAGGGGAGGGACGAGGAGGGGAGGAGAAGGAGGGAGGGGAGGGAGAAGAAGAAGAAGAAGAAGAAAGAAACAAGAAAGAGAAGAAGAAGAGAGAGTAGTAGTAGTAGCAGTAGTACTCGTTTAGAAAGATATCTCATATACAGAAGAAGAAGAAGAAGAAGAAGAAGAAGAAGAAGAAGAAGAAGAAGTAGTAGTAGTAGTAGAAGTAGAAGAAGAGTAGTAGTAGTAGTAGTAGTAGTAGTACTCGTTTAGAAAGATGTCTCATAAATTATACAAGGGTTTTCTTTTAAAGTAATCACAATGCAAATGGCTACAGGATGGTAGCCATTTTCCATATTCAATAACAAAGTAATTCCCCATTGGAAAGTCTTTTTATCTAGCATATATGTCCATGTATTCACCTCTATCTAGCAATGGATTGAAATTCAGAAAGAAATATGGTCTATATAAATGTACCCTTTTTTTCCAGTATGGTAAGCTATGTGACCTATTTATATATTTTGATGAAGTGAAATGGAAGTACATTGTAGCATGACTATGTACTTCATTGCTTACAAAGCAAAATACATATTTATTTTTATCTTTGTTCTTTTTATTCAAGTTCTTAAGGTGTCCAGTGACTATAACAGCTGTCATAAATATACTGACAAAAAGATCTAGTAGTGAGTGATAGACTTCATCTGGCAGCACTTAAAGTGGCATTTAAGTAAGCTATGTTCTATTTCCTGGTAGACCACAGGACTTGAGTAATTTAGGTATCTTATTATTAGGTTGGTGCAAAAGTAATTGTGGTTTTGCCACTAAAAATAATGGCAAAAGCAGAAATTATTTTTACACCAACTAATAATTAAAATTGTTTTATTTGCTCTTATATATAAACATTTTTACTTTTACTACTATAAATAGCTAGCCAATCACAAATGCTTTTTTAAAAAACCATGTAGAAACAGGCAGATTTTAAAAATCTAACAGAAATGAAGAAAACATGGTATCATAAATTGAGCCAGCAATGCCTTCAGTTTTAAAGTGAAAGTAATGTTTGTTTAGGATATTATAAAGCATAGTCTCTGAATTGAATCTTAATCTCAAAAGAATAATAATTGGGCCAGGCATGGTGGCTCACATCCGTAATCCCAGAGCTTTGAGAGGCCTCAGTGAGCAGATTACTTGCAGCCAGGAGTTTGAGACCATCCTGGCCAACATGGTGAAACCCTGTTCTCTTCTAAAAATATGAAAAAGCCACGTATAGTGGTATGCACCTCTAGTCCCAGCTACTCTAGTAGCTGAGGCATGAGAATTACTTGCACCTGGGAGGCAGAAGTTTCAGTGAGCCGAGATCATGCCACCGTACTCTAGCTTGGGAGACAGAGCAAGACTATGTCCAAAAAAAAACAAAACAAAACAAAACAAGAATTGCACTCATTTAGAAAGATGTCTTATTAAAAATTATAGTCATATGGCAAGAGTAGCTTAAGTTAAACTGGCCATACCTAAAATTCTAGCTAATATGCAGGATAATAATATTTGGGATAAAGAGAAATGACCTTGGAGACAAAACTCTTGGATCGCGTTTCCCCTGATCTGTTACCAGTGATGTAAGTTTCGGCAAGTTCCCTCTCCCATGCCCATCTATAAGACGGACAGCCTGGAGGGTAGGGACTTAGGACTTGATGGCCTCTAGAGGTCCTTTTATCTTAGAAGGCCTTTTGTAAAACAAAAGATTTGTTGTGAGACAAAAAGATCTTGCAAAAAATTCATTTACTCTAAAATGTCAGATGAGGTTTTTAATCAGGGGCCAAGAGAATAACTGGCTCATGGATGGATCCTCAGCAAATTTGTCACTATGTAAAAAGCTGAATAGAAGACACAGACTAGGATTATGGAACAGTGACTGTTTTGCTCCTATCGGTGTTGTTTCGTACATAGGGAAAATCTGGAACCAATTTCTAGTTAATTCATACTCTTACCATGCTGAGAAAAAAAAAAAAAATGCACAAGGAAATCAAAAGTGCAGAGAGGCACGTCTTTCCAAGAAAAAAACTGGTAGTGACCAAGAGTGGAAACCAGTCTTCTCAACCCCTGGGTCTTTACTCTAGAAACTGCCCTATATTTTTCACTGGTAAATTATAATACTTGTTATTGAGTAAGGCTTATGTTGGCAAAAACAGAAAGAGTTGATGGGTGGTTGATATGTTATGATGTTGCTATATGTAATGGTTTACAAAATCAATTTTTATGAATCATATCAATATGAGCCATCAAATACACTATTTTTTTCTTTATCATTTAAAAAGAAACACTAGGCTGCTGCTAGTCAGTATCATTTTTCAACATTTATCTGATTAATAATGACCTTTCTGGTACCCCGTTGTAAATTATACCACAAGCTGTATATTTCCATTCAATGAGAATCTGGCTAGGGATTCAAAGATTTATTACAATAGAATAGATTATATGAAATATAAATAGGCTAGTGGTCTTAAGATTTCATGGGGGAAAAAATTTTATCTCACATAAATAATGTGCATGAATAGAAAACTATTCACAGAGGTATTCTATAGTAGACTAAATAAAATTTATAAATTATTTTCTCAAGGTAAAAAAAAAAAAGTCCTCCTTGTGAGGTGGCCTATATCACAGCATGCTAGCAAACATCAACCTCCACTGCCAAGTAGGATTTAGTAGGGACAAGTCTTGTACAAGTAGTGTGTCGACAGTCAACCCATATGGATAGATGAAGTGCCAAATTAGTTTGGAAAGCAGAGTAATGTCCAAAGATTAAGTAAAAGATAATTTGTATTCTAGTCTTTGTGGCATCAAACTCTGAATTCATTTACTATTGCAATAATCAGATCATCAGCACTAGGAAAGTTCAGCTCAGTTCAAAGCATTGACTTGCATTTTTATGAAGACTAACTTTGGAGATTTATGTGTGTATCCAAGCAAAGCTTTACCTGAACATGTTTGATTGGATTCATCTTCATTGCTTCCACAGTCATTAGCTCCATCACAAAGCCATCTCTTGGGGATGCAGCGATTATTCTGGCATTTAAACTGATCATCAGGACAGCTATGATTGACTAGGAGGGAGAGGGAAGCAAGTTTAATTATTTAAAATTGAATAAAGTTGTGAATGTTTTGAATGAATTACAGAAAAGTTACAGTAATAATAATATTACAGTACAATAAATGCCATAGATTCTGTCATTCATTGCCTTATATTTAATAGCAAATACTAATATCCACTTTGTTAAAATGTAATGCTTTTACAGAAAACATCAAGTAATTAAATCATAAATAAAGGAAATGTATTGTTTTTTATGTCTCCATTAAAACCAACTGTATGGCTGGATATGGTGGCTCATGCCTGTAATCCCAGCATTTTGGGAGGTCAAGGTGGGTGGATCACCTAAGGTCAGGAGTTCGAGACCAGTCTGGCCAACATGTTGAAACCCTGTCTCTACTAAAAATACAAAAAATTTAGCCAGGCATAGTGGCGCTTGCCTGTAATCCCAACTACTCAGGAGCCTGAGGCAGGAGAATCACTTGAACCTGGGAGGTGGAGCTTGCAGTGAGCAGAGATTGTGCCATCATACTCCCGTCTGGACAACAAGAGTGAAACTCTATCTTAAAAAAATAAAAATAAAACCAACTGTATCACTAAGTTTGTTTTCTCATTCCTTATACCAACTGGAGACGCCACTTAAAAATTTTGATCGAGAACATTTAAAATTAACTTCAAATTTTAATTTTAAACATAACAAGTATGTATTGAAAATAATTTAGTCATATATATTAAAAATATTTTTTAAACCACATAACCATTAAAATATTTCTTAACATACTAAATAAGCCTACATTTATTACTCTCTGCCCAGTGTTTCTTGGGAATGGAAGGAAATACACAGAAAAGAAAAATGCATCACTTGTGACCTAGAGTTGATGTTAACTATGAGAATCTGTATTATTTTAAAAACAAAACCAAAAAAAAGTCATCATGACTTTTCTTCCCTAGTACAAACAAATAAATATGCAACCACAGAAAATACTTAGGAGGTGACCAGTCCTCATCTGGGAAGCAGTGCACAGCTAAGGATTAAATGTTCAATATCTAAGCACAACAGGAGGCCCATCTTAATGTTAACCTTCTATGATTATTTTTCCTGCATTCCAGAGGCTAACCTCCTAACTGAATTGGCATGCTCTTCAATATGTGTTTCACAATTTCAACACTGTTTTTAGGGTTATTTTCTTTATGCCCAGTAGTTACACTTCTGTATGATAAAAACAAATGTTTATATTCATTTTACTGAGAATTTGAAAAAAATGTCATTTTATCATGGTATCATGTTTGTTGCATAGCGAATATGTGCATTTCCAGTTAGTTTCTATAAAACATTTTTCAAGGTAGCTTTGTTGATAAGTGGTTTTATCACTTTTTAAAAAGTTTTTATTGATGTATAGTAAAAAAAAAAATAAAAAAAACAAGGATAAAAACCTTCATATTCTCTGGTATTTGAGCATGATTTACATTTTCTACTCACTTCAGGGACTTTAGCAACAATAACTGCTGAGAAAAATAAAAGTCATCTGATGTAGTAGAGAGCCAACAATTTAAAGTACTGAGATTCATATGCATTCAGTGAGGCTTAACCAAGGACTTTTGCAATTTTCACCAATAAAGTAACAAACAGGAATTCAAACACCTTTTGGTTTGGAGTTGAAACACTGAAGGAATAGAAAGAATAACAAAATTCAAGACTGCAGATTATGGGTGTTTAAGATTTGAAATAATCCTCTGAAATTACCTATGTAGTATTAGAATATTAACCATGAGATCTCAGAAATAAAATGTTGCTCAACATCACTGCAATGCTTAGGGAAAATGACATAGTGCTGGAAGGTGGTCAGAGGTGTGTAACTGCTTATTGCCTCACTTATCTAATTACCCACTCATCCATGTGCCAGGCCCTGTGCTAGACCCAGAGACTACATAACACTACAACATAAGGTGTCTTCTCAAGAACATATTAATCTATGAGATGCCCCGAATAAGTAAGCAAATAATTGCAATTTGGTTTGGCAACTACTATAATAAAGGATTGTACAGGAGATGAATGTTTAACTCCAAACGACTGTATTGAGAAGATTTTTTGATAGTCAAAAAAGATTTTCCTAAGAAGGTAATGGTAAGCTATGTTGAATTCCTTAGACAGAAAACAGTCAGTGCAGTGTTGCAGAGGAGAAAAACAGGACATGTTTTGGAGATTTATAGTTCAAGTTGATAAAAATAAAAAGGCAAGTGGATGCATAACAGACTAAAGACTAAAAATGTAAATACAAGACAGAGCAGGAAGTATTGTATATGTGAGTCAATGGATTATAAAATTTGTTTTTTGGTTATGCAGTTATTGAAATTATAAGAATAGATATTATTCTATAAATATTGTTCTGAAAATAGTGTGGAAAGTGGGCTAAAGTTAAGGGAGGATTAGTGGCAGGCATAATAGAAAGCCATTTTCTGAGTTAATCTAAGGTGAAAGCCTATTAGCCAATAGAAATTGAGAGGAGGTAAACATAAAAAAAATTATTATTTAGGAAGTAGAAGAAATAGGATTTATTTATACAATTGAGTGTGGACTATAGGTAAAAGAGAGTTCTCAAGGAAGAAAAACAACAACAACAACAAAACATGGCTTGCGTGATGGAATGAAGAGTGATGACAATAAGATAAAATGACTGACTAGAACTTTTAACACTCTAATTAACAGTACAAATGCAATGCTCCCTCTACCCATAGAAGAGGTCAGTTTTCTTGTTAATTTACTAGAAAATACAAGTCACACGGTTGAAAACGTGGACCGAAGGAACCAATACATGAATATTGTGATGCAGTATTTGCACTCTGCTCAGGCGTTTCAAGTTGACTACAGAGGAAGCTCATATATAGGGCGCATTCATCACCGCCACAAATAGGCTGGCGCAAAGGTAAAACGTTATCACAAGAGACTCTTCACACTCAGTTACAAATCAAACTCCTTGTTCTACTCTTTCCTCCCTTTTTACTACTGCACTTGATTGATTATTCTTAAAAGTAATAATAAGTAAATAACAGTTCTGATTGTGAGTCAAGAAATGAGGCAATTAATCACTAAATAATACTCATTTATGTAAATTCATAGGGCAAAAATACCCTTTACCCTAAGACGAAATGTTCCTCTCACTCCAAAACTCCTGACAAATTGTATCAATTTAGTATTTGATTTTTTGGGGGATCCAAACTTTGCAAGACAGATATTAATGGGGCTGAAAATAAGAAGTACATAATGTGGAAGTCAGGGCCTGATTTTAGAAAACACAGTCTTTATGCATTTATTATAATTTATGTATTATGTATTAGTATACAATTTGAAAATATTTTTTAAAGTTCATATTCTTGAGATTTTTGTCCTAAAGCATCAATATTTGAATAACACAGATGCCCAGACTAATTGTGCCCATTCTTAAAAAAGATCTTTAAAACTTTATTTGTATATTCTTAATTAAAAAAAAAAAAAAAAAGGAAATGAAGGACTGTCAACTGATCTCATTAGTTCAGACCTAAACCTTTTCTTTCATTCATTTATTGAAAGGAAAAAAGTTTTAAAAACAATGTACTTAGGTGAAGTAAAAGATCAAGGATCACTTTGTTCAACACATGCCTTCTTTTCATATAAAATATTTTATATCTCTCAAAATCACTTAGCTAGTGACTCTAATCAAACATATTCTCAAAATATTATTTAATGTATTTCCCCAAATGTTTTCCTAACACGTATGTGAGAAATTTTCCTATGCCTACTAGCAACATGGAACTATTCTTATCCCAGCAGATGATAAATAATTAAACATAAGCCAAAGAAGGGAAAATCAAACCTTGATTTCTAAGTGCCCATATGTGTTTTCTACCATGTCCTGAGCCAGTGAAGCTATATAGTAACACGTTCCAAACCCATGTCTGTTTCCTTGGATCTTCTTCAAGACTCTGTTGCCAAAGAGCAGTGGAGTGGATCGTGACCTTCTGTACCAGTAATTCTGTCTTGAGGGAGTTTAAATTGATTTTTCCACATCTTTAAATTCAAAAATCCAAAGAATTTCCCTATAGCAACCTCTGCCAGTGGCATGGTGATGCTCATATCATGGAATATAAAAGGAGAAAATTCTTAGAGCAACTAAAATGATAATATGAAGGATGGAAAAGGATGAGAAAAACTGCTTTGAAACTATGCAAAGAAGGCAATCTATGGTCTACTCTTTATGCAAAAGGATGAATGAAAAATTAAACTAAGTTCAATTTGCATCTAAGATATTTTCAGATTTTCACAAACTGCCTTGATAATTCACACACTCAAAGACTCGAGAAAATACAGTTTTTAGGTGACTTGAAGGAGAACATACAGCAGTTTACTGAGTCCTCATCGCTTCCATCTAGGCAATCATCGTCGCCATCACATTTCCACCGAGCTTGGATACAGTGTCTGTTTTTGCAGCGAAATTCTCCAGCTTTACATATGCGAGGTAGTACTTCTCCAGGGTTAACTAGAGTTAAAAACAAAAAAAACAAAAACAAAAACAAAAACAAAAGATAAATGAACAATGCTAGCTATAGTCAGTCCATGAAAATTTAAATCTTGTCGAGTTTGTTTGTTTTAGATTCCACGTATCAGTGGGATGAGGTATTTGTCCTTCTCTGTCTGGCTTATTTTACTGAGTACAATGTCATCCAGGTTCATCCAAGTTGTTGCAATTGACAGAATTTGCTTTTTCTAAAGGCTGAGTAATATTCCATTATATATATATATGATGGTAGGTAAGGGTGTGTGTGTGTGTGTGTGTGTGCATTTCACAATTTCTCAGTTGAATACACAGAGAATAAAGTGGTAGTGGAGAGGAAAAGAGGAGATGTAGGTTAAAGAGTGCAAAGTGGCAGATTGGTAGGATGAATAAGTCTATAAAACCAAGGTACAATACAAAGACTATAGTTATAATATTGCGTTAAAATATGCACTGGAAATTTGCTGACAGTAGACTGTAGATGTTCTTACCACATACACTAAAGAGTGACTGTGAGAGATGACGGGCATATTAATTAAGCTATAGTAAGCATTTCACTATGTATATTAAAACATTATGTTGTACACCTTAAATATATACAATAAAAATAACGTCCTAAAATTTTACATGCTTTAAATTAAAAAAATATGTGATACTTATAAAGTTTACTATAATTGAACAGACACACAAATAAATTTTGTTATAACAAAATATTGTCTCATTTAACTTAATGGAAAATATAAAATATTATGGTGACAGCCATCTTTGAGAAAAAGAAAATTTTAAATTTTTCTGACAAGTATTCTACTAGATGAATATCGATCATGTAAATTGGGATATTTGTGCCATATAAAACTAAAACACTACAGAGAAGTGAAGGGGAAAAATCATTCAGGGCACATATCATGCTGGAAGAATGTAATTCTCTGCAAGCCTGGATGCTGGAACTACTTGTTTTAACCTGAAACCAGTTTTATTGAATAGCTACTGAAACAACCTGCTGCAGCTCTAAAACTAGTTTTACTCACTTCTGTCACTCACTGGAGTTTGTGAGCTCCCCAAAACTTTAATAGTGCCAATAAGCTTTCTTGCAAAACAATGTGCAACATTTCTGCTTTCTAGAACACTTCCAACCTTCTCTTTGTTTTTCGGCCATATAGAAGATCATCTAGTCTGTGGGTGTGCCCCAAACTGCAATTATTACTTCCCAAATAAAACAGTTTAAGTAGAGATGTATCTTTATAAGATGTATTTTATTTGACTTTTAACAACTAAGAACTTGGAAGATTTATTTTAAACAACAATAACACTGACCAAAGTAACAACAACATTAACAATAATACAATACCACTTTATATTTATGTTGAGTGTGCAGTTTCGCTTTTCAAAGAGCTTTTATTCATAGTCTTAATTGATTATGATAACCTATAAGGCATATATGGCAAAGAATTTTACTACCTCCACTTTATAAATAAGTACACTAAGAATTAAAATAAAAAGACAATGCAATAGCACACAGCTTTGGTGGCTATAATCACCTTGCTGGTCTGCAAGTAGGAGAAAAACTCAGGCTACTTAAGGGTTCTAGAAGTATTATGTTAACCAAAACTATCTCTTTATGTTTGGGAATCTATGAAGTGTTTTTCTTCATATGTTCCAGGTTCTCTAAACAAATGTTAGGAATTTCGTTAAGTGGGATTTATTCACAAACTGAGTCTTACTCTTCTTCTGTATCTAAGTGAATTAAATAGTCTAGAAAGAGAAGAGAATATGTGGCAATCAATGGTTAAAATAAATGATTTGTGTTTCATGGACTGTGAAAGGATAGAGGGGGGTGTGTCAAGGAGAATCAATGTAAACATTAATGTTACATGGCCTGCTGTGGCATGAGGGATAAAATCCTTTGTGTCTAATCCAGGAATCGTGTGTCTTCTACCAGAATCCATGAATCTCAGGTTAACATGCTAGCTTGCGATCAGGGTAAAATCTCAGATTCTTCATTATTCTTGACATAATATACATTTTTAAAAAAATTCTTAGTTCTGATTTCCAAATTCTCCCAAGGCATAAAGCATCATTAATTATAATAATTCTAGCCCTGCCCAAGCCTTCCAGATGTAATCCGTAGTTATATCACAAAGAAACCACATTATCAATGCAGACTATCGGGTTTGTTTAGGTTCATGATAACAGTCTAGCTAGCAACATCGATTATAAAGAAAATATTTAATGTGCTATGTGGTAATCTAGATAACATAGCAGCTTGGAAGTTCAAAATGCATGGTCTTTTCCCTGGCATTAAACAAGGTGACACTAGATGGCAATGTCATTTATCATTGAACCCCAGCCGACAGCAAGGAAATCTACCAACTTACATTAAGATTGGTATTCTTTGTCTACCTTGAAAAAGTCTCTACAAAACATTTGTTTTATAATTAATTTTAACAAATTATGATGTCTCCACTTGAGGAGCTTCTTGAATGTAGAAATAATAATTTCACATACAGAAAGGAACAATACCTAGAACAGAACAGGGTGTAGAGTTTATGCTCAAAATTGTTTGTTGGCTGATTACTGGAATTAACAGAGATTGGCATTATTGCAGTGAGAGATTCTACTCATGGGGGCTGTATAAATCCTTCAGGAAAACCACAGCGCTTCAACTGGCTAAGCAGTTAATTCTCTTCTTTTATCACCCAAGGACATGGATAAAGTTGCAAAAGACAAAAAGATAAAACACAAAGACAAAAAGATAAAACACAAAGACAGAGGGATATGTAGACAGAAAGAAGAGAGACAAAGTTCCACCTACACTCAAAAGGGTGAATATATAAAAATCCATATACATTATTTTGTTTCAATGCATAATGTGACTGAATCTATATAGCACTTGGGTGTTTGAACACAGCCAAAAATTACTTTTAGTATATTAACAAGTTCTGGAATTGAACACTTTACTTCAGAGTTGTGCTTTCAACTATGTATTTGAAAACTGATACAAAACCTATAATTCTACTGCCAGAACCATTTCTAGCAAAAATTCTACAGTATGATCTCACCAATAAGAAATTGACAAAGTAATAAATAATCCTATAATTTAACCAGGATCAAAAGTAAAATAATATAAATCATGGTATACTTGTCATGGAACTATTAGTTTTTACACATCTTGTGGTACCTGCTGTGAGAATAATGAAATCACTCAGGCTTATGCATGAGTCTCCAAGGCACTACAAAAGAAAATATGCATTCCAGAATTATTTGTCTTTGGCAAAAACCGGCTGGAGTTAACGTCCAGGTCATAATGATGGGAAGTAGGAAATACTGTTAAAAAACTTTTATTTATTTATTTATTTTAGTTTGGATTATCTGAGATTGGGAACTCAGTTCAGCTTCTGGACTAAAGGCATACTCCTGACCTTAGTTTAATAACCTGTGGTGTGCATAAACAAGAGCTGATGCTTCTCACTTTGCTTTTTCTCTTTTCAAACACAGTGTGGTGATCTATTCTAAATTAATTTTTCCCTCAATTGATGCATTTCTGTCAACTGCATCAGAATTATAACTCAGTCATAATAATATTTGTCCTGGGACAAAAAATAAAATAAAATGTCTTTCTATTGTTTCTACTTATCTAATATTGCAAAATGTTTTTGTTTATTTCTTCATTTTAGGAGTACAGAATCTCTTATTGCCTCTTTATTTGAGCAGGGAGAGAGAAAAGAACCAAAAAGAAAACTTGAAGTTGTGGTTTGCTGGATCTCTTTATATAAGCATGCCTATAGCCGAAGACTGTGTGAAAAATGCTGTTATAGGTTTAGATTTTTCTCCTTTAGATCATAGCAGCATGACCTTTCATTAGATAGAGTGGTCTTCTGAGCAGCCAAGCTAAGTGGTACACAATCTTCTGTGGTTCCCATGCACAGAGGGCCATAAATATTCATCTGGATGGGCTTCTCAACTTTTTACTGCCTTAAACTTTTTACTACAGATTAGACTCCATATATCCTAGAACATAAGACTTGTCACAGCCAAGCAGACAAATGGTTCACCATAGTGAAGCTCTGTTTCTTGACAGAGGAATATATCTGGAGCTCCAGAAGGGGATAAAGGTCACAGAGTACCATTGACACATCATTGTGCAATGCTGTCCCTTGGATAACCAATGTTTCTGCAATGTTCAAGTTGCTCTCCTGGGAGAAAGGCACATTGAAAAATTATGTCTTATTTTTAGGCCACTAAAGAAGAATTAAAAGAATTACTGTTTCTTTACTTTAGACAAAATAATCTTGCTGGAGATTTTTGATGTTGTTGTTGCTAATAGTGACTCACCGTCTTTGGAATCTACCTTACTTTTTGGGATTGCTCATGTCCTTGTTTATTAATATTCTGTGTTGTGATTTTTTTCTCACAAACATGTCAAAAGAAATACAAAGTTTGTTTGGTAATTGATCACCTAGCTTTACACACCTTCTCAGGGGTAGTAAGTTCCAAGTTACTATGCTACACCCGACATCATTTCTAGTTGTGAGAGGATTTGACCGTGACAGACAAGATTCAAAAAGACAAAGAGTCCATCCTACTCTCCTTTCGGATTCCTTCCAAGCATGGCATTAGAATTCATCCTTAATCAGTCATGTAGCATGTCAATATTTTTCTGTTGGGTACATGTCTTTTCCGGCATAGCCTTGTGTTACAAGTTCATTGAGAAAGAGTCATTGGTGTTTAGCCCAGCTTGAATATTTGCCAGTGGGTTTTTGTTCATTCGACGTCAGTTTAACAAGGATGACTGAAACCAGGAAGATCATGTCACAATGGCTGCAACTTTGTTTTGCTGGTTTGACTCAGATTACACAGTTAATCCAGATAATTCTAGTTCCCATGACTATAACCTAGCCTGAACTAAATCAGACATCCAGAAGAATCAACACTAATGAGAGGTTAGTAGCATATTGTTATTTACTATGAACTACTGTACTCAGCAA